AGCTGTCTCCGTTCATCCCTCTGCAGAATTATGTGTGTGCACTGTGGGGGAAACGGCACTCTTAGAAATCAAGGCTTCACACCCTCAAGGGCTCAGCTGCTGAATATGCTGACTGGACCTCAGCAGCATGAATCACTCCACGACTCAGTCCACAAACTGAATGGGGGTAAAACTGCTCCCATGGGATGAGCTGTGAGGATTCAGCATGCTAAACACACACAGTAAAGGAGGCCATAATAATGCCTGTGTTCCCCCTCTTTCACAATTGTGAATAAGAACATCTCAAAATACACCACTCTTGCAAGGTACGTCCCTTCTGCAGTGGCACTCAGAAATGGGGGGAGATTTCAACTCAAGCTTGGGCTGCATGTGGTCAATGACCATACCTGGACTCATCTGATCTACCAACAGTAGGCTCTATCTGAAGTAGTCAAACAAATACAGGCAAGGAGCTATCATATGAAAACACCAGGTCTCTTCTTTGAGCTCTTCAAAGCTGCATATGGTTTGTGATATCCAGATGCTTCCTTTGCCCAGGAGAGAAGTCTGCAGACATCTAAACCTTTTCACTTGGCAGTCAGCTGATGGTCTAGTATAACAGTAGAATAAGCAACAAAGTCATGTCCATTTAACATGCACACAGTCAAAAACAGCTCAACCTACCAGCAATTTCCACGATGTCACCAGGCACAATGTCTCTGGCCTTGATCCTCTGCACAGTTTTTCGGTCCTGTCGGTACACTTTCCCCATCTCAGGCTCATACTCCTTAAGAGCCTCAATGGCATCCTCAGCATTGCGCTCCTGGTGAGGTGAAATGAGATTCTGTGCCAACATTTCCAAGTTGCTCTGAGATACGTTGATAATATCACATGAACTATGATACCCCTTTGAAGAGGTGGTGGCTATTCTATGATGGATAGGTACTCTAACAAGTTTTGGTTGGGGACATTTAGGTGTTAAAAACATGAACATGGAAATATAAATCATCATTTTCTGCCTCTTGACATGCTCTAATTTTATCTTTCATCAGCATCTTCATCTGTCATCAGTGACAAAAACACAACACCCAGAGCAGACTGCCCACACAGTTTTAAATGAATAAGCTGCCTCATACATAAGCAACTTACAGGAAGACTGCTGATGGCAAGTGGCAGACTGTTCCTTTTCAAATGAAGCATCTTTGAGACAAAAACTGACAAAAAAGTTTTCCTACAGTGCCAGGGAAGTTTAACAAATGTTAGCAGGCTGCTACACAGATACATTTACATTAGTACTGTGCATACTTCCTAAAGTACTGTCACTGTCTCACAGTCTACACCTATATCCTACATCCACTGGAACACCCGCAGCCATTTCCAGTAATAGCTGCCTTTCAGACTGACATATACACTTTGCTGCCCATTCATTAGGCTCACCTGATATACAATCCAAAATACAACCTAAAGTCTGCACCAGAGAAGTGTTGGTTCAACCTTGCACCGAATTAGACTGCACTGAAAGCATAGTCAATTTGATGAAAGTAAGATATCTTGTTTTCAAAGTTGAAATAGGCTCACACTGACAACCAATAGCTTTCCATTCAGTGCTAAGTTCAGGTAATCCCAGCTGGTTACCTTAAAGTGTTATCCTTAAGTGTCTGTTTATACTGGTGAAGTTAACAATTAACATGTACACCCATTCACAGAAAATCCATCATTCTGCAGTTTGATGAAATGCATGGAATCTGTTGAATAAAAACTAAAATAGAAAAATTAATTTCTCCTCCCCAGATGCAGTGGTGATACAGTGGGATTTAAACACAGAGACAGTTTCTCACCTGCCACACTCCGACGATGGCATTGGCTATGAGAATAAGTAAGATTACAAAGGGCTCCACAAAGGCTGTGATAGTCTCTTCTCCCTCCTCAAACCAGGCCAGCACCTGAAAACAGTAAGAGAAACATGACATTTAATCATTAATCAGACACGTCACAGAGTGAGCAGGTAAGGACATAAATCAAGAAACTATAGCAAAGGTTGTCCATGAAGGCTGTACAACAAAATCAGACAAATTAAGCTGTTAAATTAACAGGACAGATTTTTATCACTTCAAGAGAGATTTCTGTGACAGCATTCCAATAATGTGAAGGTTTTGCTGTTTGTCCATTGCTAGAAACTAGACATAAAGCCAGAGACTGCCAATAACTGAGAATCATCCCACACATTTCTTATATAAAACTCTGTGTACTGTGGAAAAAGAATCACGTACAGTACAGCTGTGCCTTGAACTCAACATCCTCCTGTTCTCGGAGCCCTACATTCTGGAAACATAAGAACCTTGTGAACTGTAGTCATTAACAGCTAACCACATTTCTGACGGATACCAGCAATGCTTTTATTCCATTACTGCTATTCTCCCATAGATTTCCATAATAATTTTTTTAATCTGCCAGCGCTGCACACGCCTTTTGAACTGTGGAAGAATGGGAGCGTCTTCATAAACGTTTCATTCAATAATGCAAACATGTCAGTAATCACGAAGACTCCTCTGAACACAGTCCGATCTCTGTTGAGTGGAACTATTTAAAACTTTCCTGATGCTCATTACTAATACTAAATGACTGGTCTCATCCTTGTTGCATAGTTTATACTGTTTCACTGTCAGTCCAAACAAATAGTTATTATAGTATTATAAAATACGTGATAGTATTCTGACCTGGAGTCGTTTAGCTTGTTGTCCTAAAATTATCCTGTGAGCCACAATCAATTATTAATGTCCCATAATATAATAAACTAATCAATATCGGTAAGACCTAGCTATGTTGGATGCCAAGGATATTTTAAAGAGAATGATTAAAATGGCAAGCATAATAACCCTTAGGACTGGTGTCCGTAGACAACAGGGCACTATCATGAGACCTGCTGTATGTCACAGGGCATCAGAATCTAAGAAATGTCAAATATCCATCAGGTTACACAGCACCCAATGTATTGTTTTGTCCAAACAATAGCCCAAAGAAATTCAGTGTACAATTCTATATACCAGGCAAAAGAAGAACATTCTTACAAGCTGTTACAAGAAAATGATGGACATTTCTGATCAATAAGTGATAATCATAATAGCTGACAATTACTTTTCTGTCCATCAAATAACCAAGCAATATAACTCATAGTTTCAGTCCTAATTTGCACACGACCTCATAAACAGTGTGTTTTAAAACAGGAGCAGGGTGTAGTAAAACACCAAAGCAAGCCATCCAAACAGAACTGATGAAAACCTGGAATTCAGAGATTTAATTAGGAGAAACTACTTCATTAGTTTAGGTTTTCTGGTTCTCATCTGTTTGGGTACATATCAAAGCATGGGAGTGATTCAATTTATGTAGAAGTGGGTGTGCATGTTTGTGCCATGGCAGCCCTCCCACTGAGGGGTGAGGGCCCAAATTTGGTCTTGAGTGCTGTGCTGTTCCCCTGTCAGACAGCAGACACTGACACCTCTGTATCACCTGATGGGGCACTGTACACTACATACCAGCTCGCACACCAACGCACACGCTTGCACCCAGAGGGCCTCAGTTATCTACATGTTCTTCAGACATCTGTTAATATAGTGTCCATCTCACAACGCCAAAGCTCAATTCCAGTTTTTGACCCATTACAGAAAAAAAAATCAAAACATAAAGTGCCTATTTGGCTTCAATTCTCCACAAGAACCTGCACAAAAAAAGCCGCTTTGCGCAGCTTTCTACACAATATAACAAGACATAGTACTAATGTGACATGACCATGTTAATCTGATTCAGCTTTTGAATGGGCTTGGACATGTGCCAGTGATTCAGTTACACAATAGCAGGCTACTATGAAACATTTATCTGTCTAGCAGTGAAAGTCTATGTCTCGGGTGAGACCGGCTCAAATGTCTTACTTGACATGTGGTGATAGCAACTCAATGCTGCTACTGCTGTTGTCACCATTCCTCAGATGTGCCGGCAGCCTTCTCAGCTGTTTAGCTCCTTAATATATGAGTGTAACCCCAGCCTGGTTATACAAACTGACAACATTCACACTCCTACATTATGCAATGTATAAAGTGTCCTCTGCTAATTGTTACACAGGCCTTAACAACTATCCTCTTTGCGATTTTGACTTCAATTAAGCACGCTTACCAACAGCACACACACACACACACACACACACACACACACACACACACACACACACACACACACACACACACACACACACACACACACACAAAAACTAGAAACATACTTACAAAAGATATACATGCGGCCAGAAGAAGAATTCGAACAAGCAAATCTTCAAACTGTTCAAGGACAAGCTCCCATAAAGATTTCCCTGCAGGGTAATGAGTTATTGGTTAAAAACAATCCATCACTGAAAACTGTTTGCATAAAATGACAGTGACAAGATCGGCCAAAGTAGTGATTACCTTCTTCAGCTGGTAACTCTGTGTGTGTGTGTGTGTGTGCAGAGGGGAGAGTCGACCCAGGGATGGCACAGGGAACAGATGACAAAGAAAAGGAAAGGAAAGTAAGTGGTGTATAAAGACATTTCTAGCCATATGGATACATGACAGTCTGTTCCTGTTTCTTGAAGGAGAACTGACTCCTAGGACAAGAGTGAGACACATGGGTGTTAACTTGAGAGAACTAAATCTCTGACTTACACAAGTGTCAAAACAAAACCACCAGCAGATCCCCGGCTTCATTTCAGATTCTTTAGCCATACATACGGTATAAGAGGGGAGGCCTGTCCTGCATTTATACAGTGATATAATGGATGTGCATATAGGTCTATTTAACCACCAGACTATAAATGAGATCATACTGCAATAATGTTATGCTTTTAAGAGCCCATTCAGATATCAGGTTTACAGTTCTAACTATGGAAAACTACTTCTTGAAGATTCATGGCACAATAGGAGAACTCCAGTCAATGTAAAGGTCAAAGTGATTTAAGGAGAGGGGATATACCCTCCATCACCTCCCAGGTGATATTAATATAAAAGCAGCTGTTTAGGCCTGGGACAAGAGAGATTAACTTAGGTCGGATAACGTTACTCCAACGATCCCGTGGCCGCTATTCAGTGTCAAATGCCTGCTGGATGTCCAGGCACACGGGCTGGTGTGTTGCACTTTTTCCTCAGAGAAACACACAGCAAGGTTACTTCGTTCGGCAGTGTCACCACAGTTTACGACCACTGTCAGCAATGTTATCAGTTACCATGCAGCTTTACACTGTTCAGAAATGCCCATGTTTAACAATGTTACAACGTCTTCTCGGTAATGATTAGTTTGTTACGATGTAACACATGGGGAACCCTCGAGGTCACCACTGATGACGTCAGCCAAATCGCGTTATGGAGCCGGTGTAACACCGGACGGTTTGGTGATATTCATGACCTTAGCAGCACTACTGTGCTCACTGCCCATGTTACAATGACAAGACATTTTTGTAGCCGTGATTCATTCACAGCACCGGCGTCTGTAGTGGTCTGTGGTTTGAATTGTCGTACCGTTTAGGCCCCATTTCTCTTTCTGTCGTTTCACCTCGTCCAGGGAAAGTCCTGTGCTTTCATTGACGCAAAAATAACTGTAAACTTCTTCCACACTTTTCGTGTGAGCGTTCTCCATGGTAGATCGACGGCTCCTTCCCACACAGCTCTCCCCAAAACACTGCTCTATGTACCTTCCGGCTCTTTGCAACTGTCGATACTTTCAGAGGAATGAGGAGTTTGCCAGCTGAGAGCTGTGCATCTACGCTCGGATAGCTATCGACAGCTACTGACCGCAGGTTTACGTGTCTCCTGGCCCCGTTAAGATTTTCTTCACGCGAATTACGGAGAAAATGTTGGAATAAGCCAAATTCCTCTTTCCTGTCTGGACGGCGATTACCCTAAGCGTCCTCTTATCTCCGACAATGGTGGGAAAGTGTCTGCAGTAGTGTGTTGAGAACTGTATTCACACAGTCCGGTCCAGTCGTGCTGCCGTGCCGTGCCGTGCCGTGCCGTGCCGTTCCTCGCCGTGGCGCAGCTCTCTGTGACTCCACGCATCCTGGTCGTCTGGTTTTATCAAAGCGCCTCGCTGCTGCCCTCTTCCCTGCGTCTCATGTGGACTCGTATCATTGGACGAACGATGGCCACGTTCAAACCAGGGGGGCATGAAAAACACAGGAACTAACCAGGAAATGACAAGCTGGAACACATGCTCCCATTCAAACCTTGTCTGGTCTAATTGTGTGTAAACTAGGAGGCCACAATGAATTTGCATTAATTTTAGCGTTGCCTATTGCCTATTGCCCTCCATATGCACTTCAGCGCAGTTGTCTGGACACACTGCCGTTATGTGACTGGAAAATATTGAGTGACATGAAGCCACGTATGACATAGTATGTGCTCTGACACTAAGACAGTAATTGTATGTAGGCACTATAGACTTTATAGACTCAAAGATGTCCCATGTAAGGCGGCGTCCAAGTTGCTGGAGAACCAATAGTGGTCTAAAACGGTTTCCACACAGACATATTTTTCTATGGTAGTGTTGCACATTCACAGTTATCAATTGCAATATCCTGCTTGTATAGATTCACCAACTACACTCAAGATTACAAGCATCCCATTACAGAGGCTCCATCTTGTGTTACTACCTCACAAGATTCCCATCAGCTAAGGGATAAAGACATGACAGAACCTCAGGAACCATATGCTTTGCCATAGATAATGGATAAAGCCAGACTATACCTGATTCATCAACTACATCTGCATAACAATTGTAAAGGCAGCCAATTTACTACAGAGGTGTGAGGACACTAGGTCAGCATTGTGTTCTTTGTGGGGTATCACTGTCAAATGTTTCACACGACTGGCGTGCGTCATCTGTTAACACATCTTAATAAGGCCCTAAGAAGCACAAGGTGTTGTTACAATAATAACGTGGCAGTGTCCACATCAAGCTGCCTTTTACACATGCACACTTGATCCGTTTGGCACAAGAGTGACTAGCACTGGCTGTCAACAGCAGATTAAGTTTCTGTGGGAGTGTCGGTGAAGACATTTGTTAGGAATAACAAGTTTCTGTGGGAGTGTCGGTGAAGACATTTGTTAGGAATAACACGGGGCACTCAAACCATATTCTATATGCACATAAATGTGTCATGTTACTTGCTAAAAAGGTAATCATACTTTAGGAGCTACAGTATGTTCCGTCCCACATGCAGTTTAAACTTGATGTACACAAAGTGTTGAACTGTTACATACAGTAACATATTTCATACTACTCCAGGTAAGCAAGCAAGCATAATGCTCTTAATTCACAACAAATCTGTCATTTAATTTCTATAAATAAATTGTGCTTTATGTATTCTAACATTAGTCTCAGCAGGTATTCACTGCACGTCTCATTCTGTTTTATCTCAAATAGGTGAATACACATTTATCATAATGGGGACTTTAAATGAATAGGAAACAGTTTTTTAACAGACTGATGTATTTTATATGACTATTTAATGAAACATAAGTCAAAATACATTTAATAGAAATACACAGACAACCAAAATACTGTATCTAACTATGTATGTCTTAAATGTAAAAAGTTATCTTGAAATAAAGTTCTATTATAGAAAAATGTTGGATGTGGGCAGCACGGTGGCACAGTGGTTAGCGCCAGGTTCCGGGTTCGGGCCCCACCTGGGACCTTTCTGTGTGGAGTTTGCATGTTCTCCTCGTGCTTGCGTGGGTTCTCTCCAGGTACTCCGGCTTCCTCCCACAGTCCAAAGACATGCAGCTTAGGTTGATTGGTGTCTCTAAATTGCCCATAGGAGTGCATGTGGTTGTTTGTCTATGTGTTAGCCCTGCGATGGATTGGCGACCTGTCCAGGGTGTAC